ATAGCAGATTGAAGTGGATAAGAAATTTCTTTTTATTTCGAGTGTTGTAGCTTTGGTCATTACATGAGCAAAAATAGCAGTCATATTCCGTGGTTTCTAATGTCAAACAAACAAATACTATCCAGAAATGACACATCATGTGGCCTGTTAACCGTTTATATAATAGTGGTGCGTTTATTGTGGATTCTAGAATAATTGACAAGACTCTCACATCGCAATTGGTCTAGAGATGTCTATAGCCAGTGGTTGTCAACATTTTAAGCATAATAAAATGTGATCTGATTTCAATAAAAATGATTCACTTATGTAAAAGTACATATGACATTTTGTGAAAATCTGTACATGATGGAGAAAAATGGATATCATTTTCAGATTCAGCATACAGGAATTACTGTAGAACATGTAAAAATTCCAAGACAATAAAACTATTGCAGGCCTGTGTTATCAATTCATACCACTAGATGTCAGAAATGAACAATCTCTTTGTAGTGATATTATTTTATTGGTCAAGATTGTGGTGAAACCAGTGTTCCCTCTAAGCTGTGCAGCTGCACAATAACCAATCAAGTGCTGCACACGTTGTTATTCCAGCTGTGCACATACTCAGTAATGGTAAGGAATCTCAACATGTTGACAAATTTAATGACTCTGGCAAACAATAGGTGTAAAGCCCAAATAACCAATTGATAGTATTTCAAAGCAGCCTAATGATCCAATAGGGTTCATGGTCTAAGAATACCCACAAACTGCCTTGATACTGGTGCACATGAAAAAATTCATTCTTTAGATGGTTTGAAAAAATGAGAGGGAACATTGGTGACAGCTGGACCTTAGTTTCCACTGCATTAATCAATGGAAAAAAGTTTGGAACCACTACAGGGAGTATCTTTCCTTTCCCACTTTCCCAAACAGCCAGACGTTCAAATCTATTTTAAGTAATTATCTGTGCCAAATTTAAACCTAGCCCTTTCTTCCATTGTCAACTTTAGTAAACCCTGTATGTTCTTCCTCTTATTTCTTAATTTAAGTAGGATGACCAGATGTTCTAGTTTTTGGGATGCCTAATTGTCCTGGTTTCATTTTCTTCAGTAACTTTTAAGTTATTTTCTACACTTATACTTGTTATTCAGTATTTTGAATGACTCAACCTTTGCAGCTGTCTTTAAAGTTGGAGCAGCAGCAGACATGATGTAACTATTGCATATATAACTGAGCATATGATTTTGCACCCACCAAAATAGAGAGCCAGTTCAATGCAAATGACAGATACTGTCCCTTGCCAACATTTAGTTTTCAAGTCATGGTGCATTTAGTTCAAGTAAACCAAGGGTGAACATGAATGACAGTTGCTCAGAATATTGCAGCAAACTCCCGGTCAAAATGTAGTAATTTAAGAAACTTTATTTGTCAGAGAGATATCTGTAGACAAAATAATGTAAGTAAATATATCCTTTTCACTTGATACTTATAATATGTATAACTGATTATAATTTTTCCATAAAAAAGAATGGATGGGTCCTAATTTTAAGATCCAAAAATCTGAGTTTCCCATTTTATTATTTGAAAATCTAGTCACCCTATACTTAAGAGAAATCTTGACTTAAAACAATATTGGTTTATAACAATGATAAACATACTTATCTTCTGGATGACAACATGGATGAATGATTCCATTCATATCCAAATACAGATTATCAAATTCCACATCATTTGGATTTGATTGAGAAGAATCAACTGGAATATTAACTCCATCAACAGATTTTGCCTGTAAAAATAAATATTTTTAAATACAGTACTAGTTTTAAAAATTAATTTAAACTCTTGTTAACATTGTATTAGATTCCACAAATATAAAAGCCTGTTAATCTAACAAAAGTTCATAAAAATATTTTTTTTTATGGCTGTTTTCCACAATTTATAAGTTTTATCACTCAAAAAAAAACTAATTAAAATAATTGATTATTTTAAAATTCCTATGTTTAGTGCTCCATTAAAAACTATATCAATTCTTGCACATACTGAAAATAATGAAAGCCAACAAAATCCTAATTTCCACAAGCAAATCTAACATTTTCTAGTATTACTTTCAATCCCTGCACATTACTTTTCACCTAACGTGGACATCATTATCCCTCGAAAATGTCCCTCTGTCAAAACCAAGACAGAAACCAATTGTATGTAACATACACCATTGTACATAATTCATTAAGTGTATTATTAAATGAAAAAATGCATCTCATGTTAAAGAGTTGAAAACTACAATAGGCACTTCAATTACATGTCAAATTAATTGTAACCTAAAGTAAGATGTACCACATAAAAAGCCATATAATTAACAACAAAAACATAATACACAGCAAGGGACCATCTGATCCGTCAAAGCTGTCTTTGCACATCCACCCTTTGTTACAGTAAAAATTTAAATCCACCCTTTACTTTTCAAGAAATCATCAATTCCCCCTCTTTAAATTCCTATCAAGTACTGGCCTCCACTCCTGCCAACAGCAGCTTATTCCATAAGTCAATGAATCTGTTAGAAAAATAAAACTGTCTTAACTGGAACCTAAGTTGTCTTTTACAAATCTTAAGCTTATATCTTCTTGATCTACTATGTTTAGAATATAGCAAAAAAGAAATCAGGAGCCTTTATCTAACTGATCCGTTGGATAATCTTGTAAATTGCAATAATATCCCTTCTTACATTTCTTTTATGAAGAGAAAATAAGTTGAGAGATCTTAATCTATTTCTATAAAATAACCTTCTCATCCCTAATATCATCTTTGTAATGCTCCTCTGAGTTCTATCTAGTAAATCAATAAGGAGACTAAAACTGTTTGAAGCATTCCCAGTGAGGCCTAACTGTTGATTTGTATAGAGAACCTCTTTTGACTGGGAATCGATTTTCATTAGTAAGAAGAATTTATGTTGTTGATATAGATAATGACATGTACACTTCTATATTACATTAATTAAAACCACAGCACTTGCTAGCTATTTCTGTGCTTTATTTGTGTTCTAAAATAACTGATGAATAAAAGTTTATTTTCATGTTACTTGTAGTGGTTAATGTTGATAAAAATAACATAAATAATATAGGGAATATGATATTCTTATATAAACTAAACCAGAATGCACTCAAAGAGATACAGATTTACATGTATATAATAGTACATTGTGATTTGTAAAATATCATACATGACTAAAGAAAACAATGGGTGATAAAAATATATCTGATAAAACAAAACAAATTCAAAACACAAAAATTGGACTCAATAGCATTATAAACTGCAAATGCCTTAGAAGCTGGTCGAACGTCTTAGTATTGGACAGTTCACTTGATACATGTTATAATGGTTCATGTGTAAAACTCACCGAGGAAACTTACTGTTGTAAAACTAAAAATAAGCAAACAGATAGGGATGTTAAGTCATAATGTGATTAGAACAATCAATATGCATCATTTGAGGATATCAAATATGTAGATCAAAAAATAATTCTATGTAATTATGTGCAAAGAAAAAAAATTATATTGCATATAACATCACAGTTTTTTAGTTAGAATGTCTATATGAGATAATTCTAATTATAATCGTGGTTGACTTTCTTCTGATACCCTGATGCAAAGTCGTGCATTTTTATTCTAAATGTTTTTATATTATCTTTGTGATAGGATATTTCTTTTTAATATAAACTAGTTATTTGTTTCTTCAACCACCTACAAATTTCCATTTTGTTTATTATTAAATGCCATATTGGCACACCAAGTCTCTCAGAAGTAATTATGTAGTCTATATTGGTTTGCTAATTAAGAAAAATCATTACTTCATTTCATTTCATACATTCAACCAATAAACATATCTTTTTTAAGTGTCTTTTTCTGGTACTTAAATTTCTACAAGTTGTCTCTTCAGTATTTTGCTAATTAATATCTAAATATCTTATGCATGTAATATCTAAATATTATTACCATACATATATTTTTGTAGTATTAAAAGAAAGGTTTGTCATACTTTCTCACACAAATTAGCAAAGTTGTAGAAGAGTACTATATACCTTTCAAGAAATCGAGTTTGATTCTTAAGAGCGTGAAGGTGAATTACATTCTAAATGTTAGATAACCTGCAAGATAATGTTGTTTATTGTCAATTCATTAAGGCATCACTGCAACATCATTTCTGTATTTCAATAACAGACAAATATTTTGACAGAATATGTCTATAACACATCTTTCATTGTAAATAAAGGGTCTTGTGTTTTTTCTTTGTGCCACAAATGTTTTATTTAGAAATTTAATATTACAGACTTTTATGCAACCAATAACACATCACTGCTTGTAAGAGTTGTAATAACAGTGAATGGCAAATTGTTTCTGTTAGATGTTTCTTCTTTATTCTGAGCATGTCCAACTCAGTGCAAAAATATCTTTATAAAATTACAACTTATAACCCTTGATAAAATCAGCCATTTAATGAAGGTAATGTTCATGCATTAAAAATTAACTATCAAAATTATTTTAAAATTTAAAGTTCATGGAACAAAAAACACTACAAAGCCCTGCAAGCATCATAATGTATAAAATCTTTGATATAGATCCTATATTAAACAAGTAAAGAAAAACCTTTTCAAAAAAGGTAGTAAATGTAAGAATGGCTAATATTAATAATAATATCAATCCTCCAAAAACAATGCCAACAAGATAATAGGGATAGCATTTGTATAATCCCTACATAATACTAATAGCACAGGCATACAATGTAGTAGAATGTTAATAGACAAAAATAGGATAAATTAAACTCAACTGTGATTGAATAGTTATATATACTGCTATATCATTATCAGTATATGTTAATTCTTGCCTACAGGCTACAGTTAATTATGACTATGAGTATGATAACTATTATTATTAAAAATTTTAAAAAACTACACCTTTTCTTCAACACAGTGAACGATTATTGACGGATATTTTCTACTCAACCATCTAAAGAAAGCCGGAACTCCCATCTTATGTCTTTCTTAAAATTCTTCTCTAAGACGAGAGGAAATAAGTCGTAAATGACGATACTATTATTTGTAAATGTACTAAGAATTGTACTTTACATAGTCGTGTTACTACGATGTTAAGCCTAACCGCCAGACTGGTCCAAACTGAAAATAAAAAAATTCATATAAATTAACACAAAGTACAAAAGAACTTCAGCTTGATAAAAAAGAAATAAAAACAAACTTAATAAAAGAATTTTACACTTATTTGTAAAAACAGATAGAAATTATTACTTTATACAAACACACTTCGAATTCGATCTTCAGCGAACACTAACTTTTTTTTTAAAACTATAGTCGACTAACATGGATGATTAAGCACCAGTGTAAAAATATGGTGAATAAATTGTTTATTAAAAAATTGTTTGCTCTGGAGCTACATAAATGCATAAAAGTTGAAACAATCACAATAGAAACCTATCTTCATATTAAAATATTATTCCTTCTATTGTAATCTACATATATAAATTTAAAGATCGAAAGTCATACATAAAAGTGTCGCTGGTTTAAAGCAAAAACAACTGAAATGAGCAAGAAATATCAGAATGCCATAATTATTTTTCACTTTTATTCAGGATGTCACTTGTTTATTTTCATACAGATGTAAGGTGAGAACAAAACATATCACTAGTCGATTTCGATTTTAATATTGGTAAGTATGCTAGGCTGTTTCTTTCAAAGCTTTAAAATATTTTCTTATTTTCTGAATTCACAAGAGACGATATTAAGAATAACTTTTTTCCGGAGTATTCTATAGGAAACATTAATTGAAATTGGCACGAATCGTGTAAAGATCAATTCCTTAGTGGTAAGAAAAGGATTGAAAGATTAAATATAGATAAATAACTTGAGCCAGACAAGGTTTATCCAAAGTAAAGGAGATCAAATGCTAGATATGCGAGTATCTATCTCTTATTCTATATAGGTTAATAGATAGTAAACGGATGGCTGAGGTTTGGAGCTTTTCGCTTTTATCTTTATCGGTATTTAGGTCTTATAAACGTGAGAGGGTCAAGTATATTTGATCTCTTCCTCCCTGAGGTTTGGAGAGTTGTTAATGTTACTTCTTTTCAAAAGAGCACAATAAGAGCAGACCCGGATCCGGGACCAAATCTAAAATAAATCTAACATTAAATTAATGAACGACATTAGTTTGGGAGGCCAACGACGTTTGTTGCCTCACTAATCAGTTTTTTTTTTTTGGGGGGGGCGATGCTAGTTGTTATTTGGTAAATGGAAAAGGTATAGAGTTTGGGTACTTAAATTGTCAACACGGTTTTGATAACGTGCCTCACAAAACATTAAATATTGATTACAAATCTTTTTTTTGTTGTTGTTGTTGTTGTAAAGCAGGAAGCACCACAATAAGCTATCTTTACTGTGCCTACCACAAGAATCCAAACGTGGTTTTTAGCGGTGTGAGTCTGCAAACTTACTGTTGAGCCACTGGGGACGATTACAAGTCCAAAAATGTAGTTGGTCACTATGCAAGTCATTAATTAACCCTCATATCAAATAACGTATAAGTTTTAGCTAGTAGTTTGGTTCCGGAGTCGAAAAAGAAGGGTGAGAGGTAATCTTATTGAAGTTTACACTATTATCAGGGTAGTTTATGGAATAAAGGTATTTGATTTCTTTTTGCTATATTCTGACGAGAGGGCACAATTTTAAGATTTGGAAAAGACTTGCTGGGCTCCAGTTAAATAGTTTTATTTCTATAATAAGGAGATTGATTTATGGAATGGGTTGCCATTAGTATTAGTGGAAGCCAGCATTTTACATTATTTTGAAGAGAGAGAAAATCAATGTTTCCCTGAAAAATAAAGGACGTGCTTAAATTTATACTTTACTCAAAGGTGAGTATGCAAGGATAGCTTTGAAGGGCCAAATGTTTTTTGTTGTTCGTTCACTATATATGTTATGTTAATTATTGTAAACGCATATTATTTTGTTGTCCGTTGCGTGAAAGTTGTTTGTTTGGCCAAATTATCGATTGTAAGAATCTCCACTCTTACTGGTCTAAACATGTTCCACGCACGTACTCATGGGGTGGGGAGTTTGCTCAAACCCCCTATTTTTGTGATGCAAAAAAGAATGCTTATCTAGTTATAGCGCAGCTGCTTATGGTATTCGTTTAATCAAACATTAGTATTGTTGCGTCATC